AAATTCAGATAGAAAAGGTTGGACATTTTGAGCAACCGTGTCTCCTACAAAATTATGTTCCCATACAATTACACTGCACTCTCTGTTACCTTTCCAGGGAAACTTATGTTCTCCTAGATTACGGACACATAAAATCATTTGAAACGCGTGGAAGCGTTGTAAATTCAAACAAAACAATGAACGCTACAAAACTACCTTGTTAGGTTTAGGCAACAAAACTGCTTGATTAGGTTTAGTAAAAAAAACATAATGGTTTGGCATACAATGAATACCAAAATTGAAGCAAAACTTATGTTTAGGCAACAAACTTGGTACTATCACATGGGACACAAACAGCAGTCTTTGTGTCCACCTTCCTGCACTTCCTTGAATTCATTTAAAACTTGTGTTTGATACATGAAAAGCAAACATAATCCGTGAATATTTTTTCCTTAAAAATGCAATTCACAATGCAGTTTTGACCGGGTTTTGAGTGTACACACTGGAAAAAGAACAGGGGAAATGACTCAAATATAATGAGATCAAATAAAAAAGACCACATGATGTAAAGCCGAGCTGGTTCTGATCCCGAGTCGGATTTAACCAAAGCCATAACATAGATAAAAGAGGTAGAATACGTTTGAACTGATCACTGTCCTGCATCTAAAACTTACTCCTGAGATTGGTGAAGAGAATAATACTGCTGCAGTTCTTGTCTCCAATGTTGTCCTTGACATGTTTAAATGCTTCCACCATATCAATCCTGCAGAACAGAACAGAGCAGAGACTTGAGAAAGGAGCTTTCATCTTTGACCCACCACATCACTTCAGCTCTGGGGAGACAAGTGGACCAGGGGGGCAGATACTTTAAAAACAATCCACCCTTCCTCCCCTGCCACTCCTGTTCTTTACTTTTCCTCTTCAGAAAAAAATAAAATACACTAACAATAAAATTCCAGCATCAGCTAAATATCAAAAATGTCCCTTGAAGAAGTGCAGAGGAGCTGGACTGTGCAGGATGTTCCATTCAGAGGTTGTGGTTGTGGCTGTGGGAGATGTTAGATGGAGCCAGAAGCACTTCAGACTGGTAAGTGGAGGCAGATGAGGGTGCTGTACCCTCCTGCTCTAGACCTCCCACTTTCCCTCTCCCGACCACAAGCAGTTAAACCCCACAACTTCCCATTAACAGCACTGGTAATGTTGTCTTGTTGATTAGATGTCACTCGGTGGAGGGGTTTTTTTTTCATTGGTAGATAGCCCCTTTTTTATCCAAGAAAACAAATGTTATTGTCATAATATTTTTTCAGCATTATGGTATGATTTCATGGTTATCATAATAAAACCGAGACCAATGCAAATGTTGGATCCTCCTTGTAATTTACCGTATAATCCAATAATCGAGCGCTCGGCTTCTTTGAACGTCACTCACCTCACCATTCTCAGCACCTCTGACTGTGGAGTGATGTTCATATTCTCATCACCTTGCCAAACATCACTCACTGTTGATGCCAGTGGGCCACCCAGTGGACATGAACAGGGAGTGCATCCTGTCTCTCAAACTCTCAGCAAAGGACTGCCGTTGGAGAGGTCTGATAGAGGAGTAGTTGAAGCACAATGCGTCAATTCAGAGTCATAGATCATGAAGAGGCAAAAGTCCTGAAGGTAGATGATGTGCCATGTAGGTGACAGAAGAAGACATAGAAAAGAACAACCTGCCGCTTTGAATGTTTGCTGCAACACACCTCATTACTTCTTCAAGTTGTTTATATCACCCTTTCCTCTCACACATCATTTCATTCAGTTTCAGCACATGCAGGATCCTTTTTCTGAGAGTATATTTTCCAGATTAGGATCACTGTTTAGTTAACCCTAGCTTATTTAATCAGTTACTTGGAAGTGATTTATAATGTGGAGTCAATGCCACAACTCCTCAAAGCAGTCTTGGTTAAATACCAAGACTGCTTTGTTGGGCTTCAAACTGTAGTATATACTTTGTTTGACGTGTTTGATTGTAACATGTATGTCGAAGATATGTTTCCACCAATATTAAATCAAATGTAACCCATTTTACCTGCTCTGCTTCAGTGCTGCGTCTGACTAACACTCGCTTCATTAACTTGGTCTCACCTAACGCCATCAGGGGAATGTGGACACTCTCCTCGCTTTCTTCTCCTCTTCCCTCCTCTCTTTGACAGTCTCTAGCACCTGTTCACTGACTGACCTCCACATCCACACTTTCCCCTTATCTGTGTGAAGTCATGCAGGCTGAATAACTGAGATTTCAGGTGGCAGAGAGAAAATCACACACATCAGACTTGGTGTATGACCCAGACTTTCTACCACAACTAAAAACCTCTTCTTCTAACCCACAGATTCAATTCTCTCCTGTTGCCTCCCTTGTCAAAAACCCAAACTGCTGTTTGTGTCAGCAAGGCCACCAGCTGCCACCATTTATTTATATTTGAGCTTTTTGCTCTACTTTTCATACTTATCTTTTCCTGTAAATAATAATACATGTCTGAGGACTAAAATGTTCAAAACCAGCTTTTCTTGGAGTATTGAATGTATACATTTACACAACAGTGTTCAGTGATGTATTTTGATCACCTTGAAAACCCAAAATAATTTTGAGAGGGCATGAAGGTAAATTGATTGATTGTTTAGACCAATCCGCTACCCGATGCCAAAAGGATGCAACAACAAAATAAATGCTTAATGTTCTCTCTTCCTCATCGGCACTAAATCGACAGATATTGTCTTCAGTTATTCCCCATAACTCGGTAATCGAGTAAAAGATATCAGGAATATCTTATCATTTTTTTTACTGCAAAGCCCAGAATTAAGTAGAACATTTCCAGTTTCCCCCACTTTTTAAAACATGATTGAGGTAATTTTCTTAAAGCAACCCGATTGGACTGTTGACAGACTTGTGAAATGTCACATGAGTATAGCAGAAACAAGCGGGCAGGCTGTTGACCATTTAAATAGACCGCCTTATTACAAGGGTGCATTGATATAAACAGAAGAGGATGTCATGTGTGTAACATTGCATTGCAGTTGACTGCCTGAACTAGCTTTTCAACTTTTCAAAAGTTGCCTCTGTAACCTGTAAATCCCAAATTGTACCCCACTATACCAAGAACTCTGTCCACCATGTCCAAGCTTGAGTTGTGGACATCGAGAGTGCTGTGACCTGTCCTGTCTTCACTCACTCCACTGGCTGTCTGTTGTTGATGCATGACATTCAAATCCCTGGAGCTGGTGCACATAGCGCTGCCAAAGGAGCTGCAACCCCAAACCTCCAGGCAATGATCCAGCCCTGGCCTTGACTTCTCTCTGGCTGTCAATGGATGAAGTGACCTTCCCACCATGTGAAGACCTCAGAGTCACATTCTGTCTTTTGGAGGCAAAACTGTAAATTCTTGTTGTCATGGACCCTTGTGTCCAGTGCTTTCCTTTCATCCTGATGAGATGCTCCTAGTCTCAATGATTTCATCCATTTCTGTCTTAACATTTTTCAAATATGTTGGGTTCCAAGTTGTTTCGACTACCCACTGCAACCTTTGCAGCTGCATACTGATCATTTGGGAATAAACCTACTATGATATCAATAGATAATGTAGGGGTCAATATAGTGCTTTGACATGATGCAGCCTGCTCCATATCAATATATATATAGCTCTTTTGTCACAGATGGTTATTGTATGTCTGCAATTATTGCAGGCATCTGCAGTTAACGCCACCCGGCTGTCAAAGACATTACACTAGCCAACACCACATCAAACAGGTCTCCATAGCCACAGTTATTGGATGCAGAGATTAGTTCAGATTATGTTAATGTTACTCCTTTCCCAGAAGCAAAGGGTCTGTTCTGTTTCGCCCTTATTGAGAGTGAAGGCTCAGGGTGTTTTAGCCTTATCTAAATGTAATTGCGGTATTGAGAATGAAGAGTAAATAAGAATGGTTTCATGTGTTTTGTTGTAGGGAATCAATAATCGATACAGCTCAGTAGATAAGTTATCTATCAAACATATTGATGGGAAAACTAAGAAAGGTCTTGTGCGGTGTGTTTACATGGTCTTGAGACTAAGAGCCAGTTGAGCAAATACTGCATAAATATATAAGTGCATGGTTTCCATAACAACACAACCTGGTCGAGGTAAACTCCACGCTTCTCATTTACTCTCCAAACTTTACTTTGTCCCGGCTAATTCAGTTGCTGGATCTTTTCAGATGCTCCGCAGACACCTGGAATCCCAAACTGGGCGAGAAAGAAAAGGAAATCTGATGAAGCACGGTAACAAACCGAAGATGACAGATCATCTCCTGCCTCTGTGTCTCTCCGTCCTCTCCTCTCCAGACAGGGTTGGGCCAAACAGCAGGTGGTGCAGAAGAGAAGCCCGGACATGAGATTTACAAATCTCTGGCTCTCAGACCTCTGCACCGGACAAGCATGGAGGAGCAAAGAATCCCACATTTTAAAAAGTAAGTGCTGCTTTTGACATCTTTTCTACTATTTGTGGTTATGGAATAGAGCTTTATGTGATTTATATCATTGTCTCGTTTTAAAAACAAGGATAGTTTGCAAAAGGTTTACAGGTGATAACTATATGGATTTGTTCATTTGAGGTTAATGTGGTGGTGTTCAGTTTCAATGTGGATGGGGCAAACCCTTATGTCCTGGGAACCCAGTTGAATAATAAGTTATGCGTTATGTCATTAACTAGTTCTATATCTTTCTCCATTACATGTCTGAAGTGGCTGGTTGTAGTTTCTGAGAGAAACAGGTCTCAGGTCTCACTGATTTTGGTAGAATAGATGAAGATCAAAAGAAGCTCAAAACCGAAGAACTGTTTCAAAAATGATTTAAATCTGTTTTTAAATATCCTTTCCTGCTATTAGAAAAGGATAGCTTAGGATTCAGATATCAGGGACTACATTTTTGGTGACAAGATAACTTGTTTAATTACAGGAATATTCAACTCCATTATATTATATTATCTACTTATATGATAAATAGAACTGTGTGAGCTTTTGTGGAGGTTTTGAACTCTCCCTATAGTTAAAAAGAAAAAGGCTGCATGCTACTAATGTTGTGATCATGATTATTTATTTATTGGAGGATTTAAAAACTATGGCAAAAAAAAGTATTTGTAAGATTTCCAGCCATATGCATGAATTTTGCTTCCATGTGCATGCATGTGCTGAATTACTGCTATGAAGACGACTGTTGATAAGAATGCATCAATATTGCAGACGGTCTCCCCTGGAGGAAATAAAACCCAAAAGGCTGTGATGTTTGCTAAAGGTCATGTTTGCCAAACAGAAAACAGTCCTTCTATCACCGGAGAAAGTCACCGATTTTGGGCCTGAAAATCATCAACCGAGGAAGAGGACTGTTAGTAACGTAAAAACATCTTTGTATTATATACATTCAGAACTGAGTGTGATGTGTGTCGACTTGAGCCATAAAAACACAGAGGTTTGTTAAATGTTAATTACAAATATATTTTCATCTTGCCAATTAAAAGTCATCAAGTCTTCACAAACCGTCTCGAGTGATTGGCCGAGGATTTCTAAGGAGGATTTCAATGCATCTGTTTAAGCCTGCATCTTGAATGTTAATGTGCTTACTTAGTTGTCTGCCATCCATTTTAGACCCCTTTAAAGGTCTGCCTCCAAATTGGACCTGTTTCAGTTAAATACTTGATCTTAAGATGTTGAAGTGTTTTGTAAAACAAGTGCTATTCATCGTAGTTATTCTCATTTAACTGCACACAACATTGCTTCTTTTTTTCAAGTCTGTGCTCCTAATTGATTTTTGTTTTCCTCTCCTCTCCACAGCTCAGGTGTCACAGCAATAGCGTCTCTGGTCGAGGCTCTCTGAATAAAGATGCACATGGACTTGGACGGACAAATCAGATGACTCAAAAGAAGAGAAAGAAGTCCAGCCTCTGATCTCAGGACCACAGTTTGTGATGATGTGAGTCCTAAGGTTGCAGAGACCATTTTAAGACATGGAGGTGCTTCTGTTTTGTGTTTGGAACCTATTGATAGATGAACCTTGATGTCAACATGAGGTCAAAGAAACAGTAACCATTTTGTTCCACTCACCTGACTTCTGTCAGCATGCCAACACAGCATAGATGACTCACCCTTTAAAGAGACATCACTGGGAACTAACATTGTCTAACGATGTAGCAGCTACAGGTGACTTGCATGTGGCCCACGATTCAAGACAGTCCAATTTCAGTCAGTATGGAAGTGCAAACAACCTCTCTGGTCTGGATATATGTTAACAGTACAGAACAACTGAACACTTCGAATGAGAACAACACAACAGATTTGATTGAAGACTCAGACAAATACCAATCTTACATCATTGGTCTCTTCCTGTCCTGCCTGTACACCATCCTCCTCTTTCCTATTGGATTTATTGGTAACATCTTAATCCTGGTGGTGAACCTGAACCACAGAGAGAAGATGACCATCCCCGACCTTTATTTTGTCAACCTGGCTGTAGCCGACCTCATCCTGGTGGCGGATTCTCTTATTGAGGTGTTCAATCTGAACGAGAAATATTACGACTACGCTGTCCTCTGCACCTTCATGTCCCTGTTCCTGCAGGTCAACATGTACAGCAGCATCTTCTTCCTCACGTGGATGAGCTTTGACCGATATGTTGCCTTGGCCAGCTCCATAAGCAGCCGCCCGCTGAGGACTATGCAGCACGCCAAGCTCAGCTGTGGCCTCATCTGGATGGCTTCCATCCTGGCCACCCTGCTCCCCTTCACCATTGTGCAAACCCAGCACAGGGGCGAGGTGCACTTCTGCTTTGCCAACGTCACTGAGATTCAGTGGCTGGAGGTTACCATTGGCTTTTTGGTGCCCTTCTCCATCATTGGTCTATGCTACTCTCTGATTGGGCGAATCCTCATGAGGGCCCAGAAGCACCGTGGGCTGTGGCCACGGCGGCAGAAGGCCCTGCGCATGATCGTGGTGGTGGTTCTGGTGTTCTTCATCTGCTGGCTGCCAGAGAACGTCTTCATCAGCATCCAGCTGCTGCAGGGCACAGCTGACCCATCGCAGCAGACTGCTACCACCCTGTGGCATGACTACCCACTCACAGGCCACATTGTTAACCTGGCAGCTTTCTCCAACAGCTGCCTAAACCCCATTATCTATAGCTTTCTAGGAGAAACCTTCAGGGACAAGCTGCGTCTCTTCATTAAGCAGAAGGCCAGCTGGTCAGTAGTGAACCGCTTCTGCCACCACAGCCTCGATTTACACCTCTCTGTCAGGGGCGAAGTGTCAGAGGTGTGACTATCAAGAAGAGGGACAATTGTTATCAAACTAAGTCCATTGAATATGGTAAAAAAAATCTTCACATCAAAGTGATGTATCACCCAGTGGGATATATGACCTCAGCTTTCTTCACCTGTTATTTAGCTTTGCCTCATAGTTGTACAGTTAAACCCGCTCAATTTCTGAACAAAAACATAAGGCCACCAAGAATGTACACTCAAAGAAGGATGAAAATGACTTGATGTATGCGTCCCCTCTTTGAAGTACAGCCAGCGGGCAAGTATAACTAATGGTCAGATGAGTGTCAGAGGAGAGCAGCCTTTGTTTGAGACGGATAATAATGAAATCTAATCAGACTGTTTCATCTTTAACAGAGGGGTCATTTCAGTTAAAACCCACATGTAATATCACCTGGTTTATGTGAAAAGAAAAACGTGCATTTATCAAGAAACTACCACATACCAGCATCCACATCACCATCACCATCACATCCCATAACAAAATGAATGCACTCATCTGTCAAGTGAAACCTAACATCAATCAAATGTGAAAACAATCCAGGACATCAGTTATGGAACGATATTGAAGAAAAACTATAGCAATGACTTGCTTTTTACTGTCCCTGTCTAATAAATAGTAATAATAATAATATGGTGAATGGGGTAAAAAAAATGTAACTAATAAATATCAACATGAAACTTCCCCAGTTGCTTACTTACATTAAGGCAATCATTTTTTGTATTACAAGTTTTCTGAAAATGTATGTTTAAATATGCAAATGAGGCATCATGTTACTAAATATGTGCTAATTTCCAAAGCAGAAACCTAAACATTGGATAAAGCCAGGTTGGAAATTCTTGTTAAATTTTGTTGACTCATAAGAGTCAAAGGTTTTTATAAAGGGAATGTTGGATATTGAATCACTCCATGAATCAGAAAATACTGTCAACAGCCATAGAAAATATAAGAATCTATTTTTGCCATGTCTTTGGGAATAAAATGTTCCATAAATCAGGCAATTAATGATATACGAACAAACTCCTCTGTAAGATAGGAATGAAACTGGAAAGTTTGGTGTATGTAAGTACTACTGAAGTGGAGATTTCTGGCTCAGAGTCTGAGAAAAAACTCATTTTGAGAAAACGCCTTTTAAAGATATGTATTGTGAAATGAAGAGACTACAGGTGTATGTGTATAATGTATGTTTAAATATGCAAATGAGGAGAATTTAGGAGAAATCTGCAGACGCAAATAAAATAAACACCTAAATGTGTATTTTGGATGATTTCTTTCCACTAGTCTGGAATCAAAGTAGCCCACAATCTCCAAATTGAAAATTGATTTGTGAAAAAACAAGGTTTTTGCCAGCGTTCCTCCCTTAATGTACCCTCTGCTTTGTGCATTTCTGCAAACGTTTTGTTTTCCTTCTGTTGAATGAAAATGGCCTTATGTATAGCAAAACATTCATTGGACAATGCAAACCAATGTGTTCTATTTTTAGAAATAAATAAAATGTCTCACTTTTCCAGGAGTATAAAGTGGAAGTTGTCGAGTGATGTTTTTCAGTCACACCCAACATTTAAAATAAACCAGCTTGTGTTGTACATGTCTTCAAGTATCACATGGAATAAATAAAGGGTAATGTAGCTTCACCATTCATTTATATCTTGTTAAACTGGACACTTTGATCTCAGTCACACTATCAGGTGAATTAAGGACATATGAAATGTGTTATTAATCTCCAAAATCTGATGTCTGAGCTCATATATATTTTAGCTTATGTGGGAGTCAGTGAGTGCTCATTTCAGAGATGGCTGTGTTATTACCCCAATTGTCTGGTCCTGTTAACATGATGGTAAAGCAAAGAGGCAGGTGTTGTTTTGCCAGGAGGGGATGAGACAAACATATCATTCAATGTTGACAACCTGAAGCTGCCTCAATCTTTTGTGCCTACACATCTGTAACAGCCATTACACTGTGTCACAGGGGCATTACACAGGTCGATGGTGGGCCATTGCAGTTTATAAAATATTTCCACCTAAAACATAATACATCTGTGTGGCTTGCTTTTCTGTCTGTGAATGGAATTAATGTATTTTTTATTAAATTAACACAGATATTATGGCAACATATTTAGGTACCAAAGGCCATCACTGGACATGTGGATTCTCTTAGAATATAAAAATGCTTTTGACAGAAGGAAGATCCTCATTAAAACATAGACCATAGGTTAATGTAATGCAGATTGCCAGGCTACACAGGTGCAGTTTAAACATTTTAAACACTTTTTAGACACTTAATAGCAAAGGTTTTAATGAAACCTGCCACTAAGTTTTACAGCCTCAAATTGTGTGTTGACCCGTCACCAGCAAACATTATAAATTATTACAGAATATTCCATTTCTTTTTTACATTTGTGCAAAACACACAAAAAAAACACACACAAATTAGGAATATAAAGCGGTGATGTAGCAACGGCAAAAAGAGTACAGGGAACTCACGCCTATAGGTTGAGGATTGTACATCAACATATAAAATCTGTGTATTGCCGGCCTGCGGTGGGCCTGAGCTGGATTTGTGCATGAGGCAGCCAGAGATAATGGTGTGACTGGGAAAAACAGGAGTCCAAACCACAAGCTGTTATTCCAGCTGTAACAGTCCCAGCAGCCTGGGAAAGCAGCGCTGAGGATTGCTTGAGTGATTGTTTATTAGAGTAAAGATACTTTTGCATGGTGTTCCCATTACACTGTCCTATGTCCTTCACTCTTACCCTGCAGGAAAGCAATCACTTTGTTCTATGTTTCACAGATTTGTCTTTTATATTTGATTTTTGGTTGTTGATTTAGACTTGTATTCTTCCATAAACAGCACACGGTTCTATCAGAGCCACAGAGGGCACAAAGACAGGAAGACAGGGAAGTAATAATCCAATGAGAGCTGTCATGGTCACTGAGATAAACAAGCAACACCTAGACACCAAGACCCTCCAAGCTGAACACCGTGGAAGAGACAAAGGACCATCTTTACATCACACATCCACGCGCATACAAACACACGCATTCAAGATGCTGTGAGAAGAGGTTGACAGTGGACTGTGTGTACAGCTGAGACTAGGAAGGTTAAAGGTTTGTGGTGACTGACGTCACAGAAGGGGAAAAGGGTGTGACTTTTCCCCTTGCTTACATTTAATACTTCCTCTGGAGGATGCTGGATTAAACAATGAGTTTGTGAGCAACACATCTGGTAAAAGAACATAATACAATATCTTTATGTTATTAGGGGGGATAAGCAAGATCACGCAGCCAAATGATGATGATAATGCACTCTTGAGACAAATCCTGGCTCTTTTTACGGACTAAGTTGAATGAAATGTGTGTAGTTGTTGGCACATTTTCCTCATTGTATCTCTGCTGCTGTTGCTCAAAGACAACAAAGTGCTAAACAAACAGAGTGACTAGTTTATTAGGTGCAAAACAATGTGATATTGCACAAAAGTAAAATTAAATAAATGTATCTTAATGTTCAGACAGCTGTTACTTCAGCTCTACAATAACTTTAGATGCAGAAATGAAGCAGAAAACAAAGTAAGCTAAATATATTCCACATAAAGGTGAGCACTCTTAAAATATGTCCTGTGTAAAAAAGGTACTGGACACTGTCCAACTGTAAGCTGAGTGGGGGAGGGGCATGTCAAAGTAATTACAACAGGACCGTCCAGGCTTTATGCATAATTATTAGGCAGTGCACTCGGTGGACCTCAGCAGCTGAATTATGAATTAGGCGTATAATTGCATTTGTAAATTAAAATCCCTTACAGGAAAAAAAGAGCTGAATAGAACAGATTAGCTTCCCAGATACAGAAGGGAAGAAAAAAAGATTGGAGTTTGACATGCTGCAGGCAGACCCCAAAAATTCCTTATATTGAACATTTAAGGCAATTGAAAAAAAACAAAAAATATTGTTTGCAGGAAAACTTAAAACACACATTTGTAAATTCACACTGGAGGCAGATGATGGTGTGTTCGAAATAAACTGAATTTATTGTAGTGTGTATACGCATCCAAAACATTTGCTCCTGCAAACACTTTACACTTTATCATATTAAACATAGAAATCAGAGTATAGTTTCTTTAAAATAACCTAGATCACACTTTATCTGTTGTTCTACAAAGACGTTAATGATTAACACACATTATGAAGCTCCACACATTGAAAACATGGGAGGCTTTTTACATCTCCCCCACCTCACACACCTTCACCTTCATTGGAGCTGTGACTTTCACAAGTGACGTGTTTAGACCTAGCCAAATGCAAAACAAAGTCATAGATTCTCAAATAGACTATTGAATATATAACTTATAAAATATTCTTTTTCAGTATTCACATATCTTATGTCATATATTTCAGTATTCACATATTTGTTGTTGTTTAAGCCACTGTTTCAACTCTGTGTTGAAAACTTAATTCTGGTGGTGCGGATTTCCATAATTGCAAGCCTTTTTCCTGAAGAAGATGATGGGGAAAAAAAAGTTTTGAGGGACATTGGTGCTATTTCATTATATTCAAGAACAGAGTTTATAATCTTAAATATGACTATTTTAGGCCAAAGAAGTTTTTTTTTATCCTCCAGCACTTTTCTGTAGATATTAGGCTGAAGAAAATGAAATAAATAGACTCTTCTCCTTTTTTTTTGGTGGCTCATTGAACACGATGATGGTGGGGAGGGCTGGGGGTTCACTGGTAGAAGAAATACTGATAAACTCAGTATTTTCAAATCCTGCTTTGAGGATCTTTGAAATAGGGGGGGGGGGGTAACAATGTTGTTGTTATTGTCATTATTTTAATTTCGTTCCCGCAGCAGGTGTAACAATAGAGTGAAAAATGTCACGGTCACATCTTTGCAGCGCCCCCTGCTTCAATGTTTGCAGAGTGCGCTGGCTTGCAGGCGGACGTGTACGCACGCGAGCAACAGATCTGAGCGCATGCGCAGTTCATTGTTTTGACTGAAAATGCCGTCGGTTTCGAAAACGGCGGCCAATGCGTCTCCTCAAACCGAGAAACCTACCCACTATACGTGAGTAAAGCTGCTGCGCAGAAACAACTAAATCGCTCGTTGTTAAAAGGGTTATTTGCAGTCGCGCGTGTTAGCATTTCTTGCATTCCTCAACTCTTGTGTGTGCGTTCAAAACATGGTGCTTTTCCAGGCATTGTGACTACCTAACGTCACTTAGCAAACAACGACTGCACGCGAACGACATCAACCCTAATGCAGGAAACACGGACATCTTAAAACACTTAATTCACAAGCCAGGCGTTAACGGAACCGTAAACAATTGTTTTACCGAGTTGGGACATTGTTTTAGTAATCCCTTGAATGTAAAACCGTCAACTTGGTTTGCTAAATGATTAGCCAGGAACTCGCTAACCAGTCTGCTTGTAAATAGCTCGGCCTTATTTTGAGTTCCCCCTTGCTACGCACATTTATAGACGTACGCTCGGGGACTTCCAGCCAACGTTAGGTCGGAATACTTGCGTAGTTTGCTCTGTGAATAGCAAGCTAACGTTAGTGACCCACAACACACAGTGGGCTACAACACGAGCCACATAACACGACAGCACGCTGTCTTTGAACTTTTCCTGGTGCAAACATTCATGTTAAAACGCGGCTCGTGATTCTACATGTTCCTTATTGTTTCAGATACTTAAAGGAGTTCAGGACAGAGCAGTGCCCGTTGTTCCTCCAGCACAAGTGTACGCAGCACAGACCGTTTACGTGCTTTCATTGGCACTTTCTCAACCAGCGGAGAAGACGTCCCATCAGAAGAAGAGACGGCACTTTTAACTACAGCCCCGACGTGTACTGCACCAAATACGACGAGACTACAGGCATCTGTCCAGATGGAGACGAGTAAGTCCCAGTTTCAGTCATAACATCCTCCAGCTTCATGGAAGGTGTGGTGGTGCAGCTGCTGACTACTGACTGATGTTTTGCTGCCATGTTTGGGATGAGGACTAGATTTATGAAATAAATCAGACTACTGCCACAAACATACATGTATATAAAGCAGGGGACATTTCATGAAGTAGAGAAGTGTTTATATGTCCTTTTAATGGCTTGGGGCTGAGGTGTGTCTTCATTTGGAGGCGTTGTGTGGATACAAGTAGTACTTCATTGTTTCATGTGACTGAAACAAACAGTGAGAAGCTGCAGCACTTTGTTATTGTCCGTAGACCAAGAAGGAGCTAACTGTTTTTTTAGGGGACTGAAAGCATGTGGTTTTATTATGTTAGTGTATTTTGAGGGAACACGCTGGAGAGATTACATCTCCCAGCTGGCCTGGGAACGCCTCGGGATCCCCCAGAATGAGCTGGAACATGTTGCCGGTAAGAGGGAGGTCTGGGTCGGCCTGCTTGACCTGCTGCCACCGCGACCCGACCCCGGATAAGCGGTGGAAAATGGATGGATGGATGGATTTTGAGGGAAATTCTCATATATTAAAAACTCTTTTACCAGCTTGCTGTACAGCAACACGAGCTCTGTTTAATGTAATATGTGCACATCAGCTGAGTTGAGGTTATAAAATGCCAGACTGATTATAAAAGCTAATTTAATGCAGGAGCTGTTTATTTTTGAATGAATTATTTATTTACCCATGAAAACATGGTTTCATAGGTAGTTGCTTTGTGAGCAGTGTTCATCATTGAGTATCTGAAAGGTGTGATGTTGCTCCAGATGTTGGCCGCATGTTAAAGATGCAAGATTGCACGGCCACTTCTTTGTGTTGTTGCATGTAGAGAACTAAATTTAACATTTCAGATTGGACTCACCCTTCATGTGACATGAGCTGCACCTCTTTGTCTTTGAGATGCGGCTGCTTGACAGCGTGTCTGGGAGCCCTCCAGCATTTCATTCACTGCTGGTGCTACTGTTATTTTAACATTTAGTGCCGGGCTTGTGGCTCTAGAGGAGTCGAGCGTTATCGTACGTGTTGACTAAAGTCTCAGAACCTAGATCCTCAGAAGGGGCGGCGGCCCCTCTGTGTGAATGGGAATTAAAAATGCCTTTTAATTGAGTCCCACATAGAAATAAGATTATTGAACTAATGGAAAATGAACGACTACTATTCCTCCTCTGCCAATGGCGGCTATTTTTGTATGACCTTAATGTGTTGCCATAGCAACTGTTGCTACTCAAGAAAGGAAAATTTGGTTTATTTAAGAGGCTTTTTGACCAAACATCTCCAGAGGCCCTGCACCCACAGCAGAGTCTTATTGTTGATTAAAAGTAGTGTGCAACTATATAAAGATCATGTGGTAAGTTTGTTTTGGACAGATTTGAGGTTTGGGTGCCACATTGTCTTCATTATTTTAATGGCATAACTCTTTTTTTTTTTTTTTTTCATTAAATTTTTATTTAGCTCGGCTAATTACATTTTTGACGTTGTGTCCTTGCCTCCTTAGCTGTCCTTATTTACACCGGACCACTGGCGACACGGAGCGCAAGTACCATCTACGCTATTACAAGACGGGCACTTGTATCCATGAGACGGACGCTCGGGGGCATTGTGTGAAGAATGGACTCCACTGTGCTTTCGCTCACGGGCCACATGATCTCCGACCTCCGGTCTATGATATCAGGTGACAAAGCAAACAGTGGGCTGAATGTAGAATTATTACCTTATCTTTCTAAGCTGTATTTTATGAATGAATTACATCACCCTCTCGTATGCTGTTCCACCTGCGTATACATAATGTATATATAGGGAGGGTATATGACAGATGGTCCAGTATACGGTGTCACAATGAACTTTAATGGTGATTTGTTATATATATATATATCTATATCTATATCTATATCTATATCTATCTATCTTTTTGCGGAACTGGAAATAGAGATAGCATTGTTTGTGTGTGCACAGAGAGATTCAAGCACAAGAAGCCCTTCAGAATGGACAGCTGGGATCTGGGGAAGGTATTCCTGATCTGCAGCCGGGCGTGTTAGCCAGCCAAGCTATGATTGAGAAAACTCTGACAGAAGACCCCCGGTGGCAAGGTGAGTATGCCTCACTTTGATGATAACGGGCTCATGCAATACCAACACACTTGCTAGTTTCCTTCAAAATGAATGCACATTAATACTTTGTGCCATTTTTTTGCAGATTCCAACTTTGTTTTAGCCAACTACAAAACAGACCAGTGTACTAAGCCCCCAAGACTATGCAGACAGGGCTACGCCTGCCCCCACTACCACAACAGTAGAGACCGAAGACGAAATCCCAGGAAGTTCAAATATCGGTAAGATATTACTCAGTTTAAGTTAGAATAACAAATTGTATGGAGCTGTGTAAATGTGATGGGTTAAGGGTTCTAACTCTATGACTTTAGGTCTACTCCGTGCCCTAATGTGAAACATGGGGATGAATGGGGCGAACCCTCAAAGTGTGACAGCGGAGACAGTTGCCAGTATTGTCACTCTCGCACTGAACAGCAGTTTCACCCAGAGGTAAGTGAGTTATGTTTCTCAGAAAAACTGACTACTTATCAAAAAAGCCAAAATACAGATAATGTGTAGTAATAGTTTTTGGCTGTAATCCTGCTGCAAGTTCAAGATATTAATTGATGTTTAATTATTCGGTTAATACTATATTGTAGCGTCATTGGTGGTTGACTAGTTTTTCTACAAACACACATCTTCACTTTGTATCTTATTTTCGTGTCTTTTGTTTTGTTTGTTTCTCTTAAGATCTACAAATCTACCAAATGCAATGATATGCGACAGACTGGGTACTGTCCCAGAGGACCGTTCTGTGCATTTGCACATGTAGAAAGTAAGTGAAAGTTCGTCTAAATACTGTTTCTGTACGAAAGTAGAGAATTACAAATCCGTGAGATTTGTAGTAAAGTGCATGCCCTTGTTGAGAAGAGCTTAGTTGTAACGTTAGTGCATCCAGCAGCAAAAGTGAACTGCAGACCCGCTGACTTGCAAAAACCCGCTGACCACAACATGCTGGACTGTTCTCAGAGCCCTGAAGCGATATCGCTCGTTTATTACAGGTTTATAAAATGAATTGCGCCAACTTCGACACTGCATGTCCTTGGGCCCTCAGCAATAAACCCACCAAGTGTGACGTAGATAAGATGAACACTTCTCTTTCAAAGGACACACACACACACACACACAGATTCTTTCATTATAGTCAGACGCACTATTTACCTTTTTAGATTGATTTAGTCACAAGATATTTTATTGGATGGCAGCTCTTTGCCACCTGGTTGTTTGCACACTATATGAATTGAATATGTATTTTTGATCCTTTCAGGGATTCCCTCTACAGAAGAGACCATGAGCTCATTGCTGACCGTGATGCAGTCCAGTTCCCAGTCCCAGCTGGGCTCCCAGCAGTATTCAGAGTGTCCCGTCAGTGAGTGGAACAGTGGAGGCAACTCCGCAGCCAGTAGCAATGGACAAGTAGGAAGTGTATGTTTCCTCTGTTGCTACGTCAGTGCTCAATAGAGAATGTATCCCAATCAACTGGTCCAAGGTGTTTGATTTACGTGTCGACATGTTGTTTACCGTGCTCTCATTTCGCTGTTGGTATGTTCTTTATACATTGATTTGTCATTGGTACCATTTCCTTTACTGTTTTACATTTCATGACTACGCTGTTTTAAAAGAACAGAGGCGATTTCTCATTGAAAGTGCTATTTAAGACTATATTTCATTCATTATTACATTCTCAATCTTAGAAAGATTCTCTAGTCCGTTCAGAATAATGCTTTTATTTTTTATCATTTTTTATTAAGATCATGTGCACTTTCTCAGGTTTCATGTTCTAATAGCTCAACTGTAACTCCAAGCTCAGGAAGCGACAGTTTGTTATCCCCAGTGGGATCCATCAGCAGGCCCAAATCCTTAACTAATACTAGTTTATGTTCAGAGTCCAGCACATCCAGCGTCTCCTCTCTGACGTCTAACTATCCTAGAGCTCCGGGCTTTGAACGAGAGTATCGGGTATACAGACTGCTCTCTTCAGCTTTAGGAAGAGTACAACTCACAGACACAGCGTAGGCCTTCACTGTCAATGTGTCGCTGTCATTCATTTTCCATTACTCTTTTGTTTATTTCTCATTCATGTCATTTTCATTTGAGACATTTCTCCATAAATTGCTTTGTTTTAGATGATTTCATGTGTTGGGTGTTCTTTACAAACAACTCAATCGTATCTTATCATGTGATGAGAGTATCCAGTAGTTTATACCTGGGTGACTGGCCAGCAAAATGCTCATTGTTGATATTCATAATTCATGTTGCATTTTGTTAATATTCTGAGAGGCTCCATCTTGCAATCATACTGCCTAAAATATAAGTTCACGATGCAAACACAGCCAGGAGTATTTGTACCTTTACACTAAGAAGCGTAGTTGCATGATGTTGCAGCCCACTCACAGTAAACGTGTCTGATTCTATCATCGTGGTTGAACTGGTTTTAAATCAATACTAGAGCTACAGGTGGCAGAAAGAGTCCAGTTATATGTTCAGTCAACACACCTCTGATTCAGGGGAAAGTTACAAGAAACAAGAACTACAAGTATTCAGCGCAGCTCCAGAGCGCGTCGTGATGTCACAGGTGGCTCCTCTGGGTAAAGTCAACAGTGGCTAAGGGCCAAAGGTCCACTTCATTTAGTTTTCTGCTGCATTAGCTTAAATATTAGATATTATGTAAAATGTAGTTTTGTCATTAAAAATGTGCTGTTTCTGTGTTTGAACACTTTTAGATTAAGAACAAGGGACAGATGGATCACAAGTTAATGGACCAAGAAAAACAGGTTTGTGCTTCAATGTGTTACTTTGTGGCGATAGATTGATGGTATTACATAATATATAATGCATTGATTTAATTGCAAATCAAACAAATGCCATTTGTGCTCTCCTTTTAGAAACAAAATACTGTATTCTCTGCGGTGAACCCTTTGGCATCAAGTTTTACCTCCAGCATAACATCCAGCTTGGCCTCTAGTATTGGCTCAGATAGTTCTTCACCCACCACCTTATCAACCATGAATGCAAAAGCCACTCCTTTCTATCCGGGGAGCAACACAGTGGAGTCCGTCATAGGTATGTCAAGTCGACTAACGGGATCGAGCTCGCACTGTGTATTCTGTGGTAAGATGACCGCTGGATGTATTTTGTTCTCCCTCAGGATCCGCTTTGGACCTCAACTTCAGTGACATTAATGTTGCATCTCTTGATAAGGAGTTAGAGGAGCAAGACAACAGCGTGGGACTGGCAAGTAAGGACACCTAGTTTGTTATCGTACTTTCAGTGGTTCGAGCAGTCGATCCCAAATGGTCTCACCGTAGTTTGCTTGTCATTACTTTGTCCCCACAGATCAAAGGGTGCTCGTTGGCTCCGCCCCCGTCAACATTCCTGGCTCCCTGGCTCGATCGTCCTCGTTTAATTCCTCGTCGTCGCTCTCCACCTCCCCGCTGAGCTCCCTCTCCCAGTCTCTGTCGCAGTCCCTGCTGTCTGCCACGTTATCGCAGCAGAATCAACCTTCGAACATGTTAGCCAAGCTAGAGCATGGCCTTCTGGGAACCCCCACCTCCTCTTCCCAGAATTCTTTGGGTAAGCTGATAGCATCAGGCGGTTTGTGATAAGTGAGTTGGAACGCATTTGACTTCAGGTTTGAGTCTCAAAGTCTTATATGTCAATGAAAGTAGTTTAAGATTCTTCTAGATTTACTGCACCACTACTCTGTTATAGTCCTATAGTTTTAGCAAAGTATTGAGCACTTCCATCAACTTTACCTAAATGTGTGATCTAGTTCCATGTGCAGAATAGACTGAGAGGTACTGAGAGTTTAATTGAAACAGTATTTTACCCCATGAAGCAACAAGAAAGATTCACTTCTCAAAGCTAAATCACTTCTATAAAAACCATCAGTTCAGGATGGATTGAAATAGTTTGAATTATCAGAGAGCTCTGAATTATTTTAAACTTTTCATCCCCAACTAACAATTCATTTGATGCTTGCTCTTGTGATTGTGACTCATCCCTCCCCTAGGCTTGAATGGAGGGGCGAGCAGCATTTGGGACTTTGTGAGTGGCAGCTTTTCACCGAGTCCATCTCCAGTTTTCAGCAGCCTAACCTCCGGAACCAGCAGTGCGGATCTAGCCCGCCTCTTCAGAGACCTGGACGAGGCCAAGAGGAAGATCAAACAATGGGAGGAGGCCTGGCATCAGGTCAAACAAGTCAGTGTTCTAAATGCGCTCCCATTGCATTACATATCGTATTTAGTATCGGAATGATTTCCCTTTTCATCGGTGGCAAGTTTTCTTCTTCTAATCCCAAGACTCCACTTTGTTCCAGGCCTGTGAAGCTTGCCAGAAAGACGCTCGCGAAGCAAAGGAACAAGCGAAAACGTCCGAGGCCGAGCGGCAGCTGGCAGAACAGAAACGGGAGGAAACGGAGCGCAAGCTGAAAGAGCTCCAAGGGGACTTTGATGTGCTTTGTCGCACCCCTGGAACACCCCTTCTTCGTAGCTATAGAGAGCTGGACAAGCTCCCCCTGTCAAAGCTTCACTCCATCCAGAGTCAGCTGCGTAATGACCTAGACCTTATAGACGGGGTAAGACAGACTAGATCACACACAGATTTTCGTTTGTAGCCTCTAGTTTTCTCATTGAGATCTACGTTCTTTTGTCATCAAGCATGCTCATTTGAAAAGTCTGCATGGATTGTATTTCCCTTAGTTGCAGCTGATATTCATTCTTTTCTTTCCCAACAGGTAATATATCAGCTTCAGTCAAAGAAATGTATAGTTTGCCAAAAGCATGATCGCTGCATTGTTCTGCAGCCTTGCCAACATTATGTACTATGTGAGAACTGTGCACCGAGTAAAACCGAGTGTCCCTATTGCAGAGCAAAGATAATGAAGTGGTGATGTACAATTACTCGAGGTACTATTTAAAGATTTAGCCCTTTGAAAAACTACTAATAGATATTCCATTTTCTAAATAGCAATGTCTGTTTCGTACAGTGATTGAATTGATTTAGAACACGATGGTGTTTGACTGAGAAAGCAAGTAGTATTATGAATCAGACTGTGTACAGGGGGTTTAATCATTATAGTTTTTGCTCATTTTATGCGCACATTAACATCGCTCAACCCGATAGCTTTCTGAATGGAAAGCCACGCACTCAAATTAGAATATTAAATGAACTCGCTGTGCCCTTTCCTCCAATCATCAGTCTCTCTAGAGGACGTGTGTCTTGTGTCCAGAGATCTATATTTTGTATATTTGTCAGCAGTATGTTTTGGCTGATATGCATTGCCAACCGGATATATTGCTCTTACAGTAAATAGAAAAGTACAGTTTAAAAATAAAATTGCAAACGGGATTGATAAACATACTCGGAGACATTGAGTGTAAGTTTGTATTTCTTCTCTCGTGTTAATGGACTGAGGAAATGTGTATTTAAAAAAAGATTTTAATAGATCTGTTACATCAGATTATTGTATTTGAAGAAAGAGAACTTACTCACTGTAACTTTAATATTCTATCTCTAGTTTTAAAATTAGGTATAAAACAACTCCTGTGTCTTTCTCATACTGTAAGTCTTACGGTCATTTTTCACTTTCAGATGCAAAGAATCAACATACTGCCAGGAAATGTAGAGTTCACTCACTCAACAGCTCCACTGGTGTTAAACATAAAATGGGCAAAAGTCAAAGCAGATTTTTCGTTCGTTTAAAGAGGAATACAATAAATCAAAGAATTCACTCGGGAGCTTTGGGGAGCAAATCCAGAAACTAGATATCCAAGAACCTGAATGTGACTGATGCTTAATTAGGAAGTCATATTTTAGTTCTGACCTCATCGGTCTGAAATTCCAGAAAAGAAATGTGTGCGCTCATACCATTTACAGAGCGTGTGGAACGGGTCGCTTTGTGCTAGAACACTTGGAAGCTCCATGCTCTGAGGAATTAATACTTAATACACACTTGCATTCACAACTATGAGGACTAATTGATGAAAAAACGAAATCTTTGGCCAGAGTATTGTCCAACTCTAGAGACTGAATATGCAGATTTGTAAAATGTTTCACATCCAACAAGGTGTCTGTCATCACATTAACCAAGGAAACGACAACACACACGACCCGTCTTTGTGTTCCTCTTTAAATAAAGCCATGTTTTCATAAACATCTTTTTAAATGCAGCCAGTCAAGCATCATTAAGTTTGATTTGTTATGGAAGCACTTTGTTGACCTGGGACTTTATTAAAGGGTATATAGACATTTGCTTTAAGCTGCTTTGTAGGTATTCTTTTGAGTTTCTTTTGTAGATTTATATTTTCTATATAAGCTAATGTCTGAAGCTTTTGTGTGTACTGTGAAACATCATTTGGATATTTCATGTTTGTAAATCATAGCATGGTTCTAGATATTCAGATTTCATAGAAAAGTACGTAATGGTTTCTACTTTCATAGCTAGATTTATAAAACTTCAATCAAATAAGTGCAAATTTAAAATGTATTTTAGGCATAACCAGCAGCTGTAATACCAGTAAGGCACATGCTACATGTTAAGGCTGTAATTCAATCAGTTGGGTTGTTTTGTAGAGATCTATAGAGCTTAGCCTATTAGAAGAGCATGTATTGTATTTGCTAAAAGCCTGAGGTGGTGATTTTTGTAGGAATCTAGTCTCTTGACCGTGTCTAGAACATATCGGCCTCTAACTCTAAAGTGCCTTGCCTTAGTTAAAAAGGTCATGTGTTGAGTTTTCAGAGCGAACCACAAGTAGTCGAAGCTTGTGCACAGCGTGTCTGGTTTGACTTTGCAGAAACGGTGACATGTGTATGACTAGATACATGTATGTCTAAATATATGCCGGAGTATTTGGCCCAATCTGATGAAGTTTTTCTGCAGAAGATAACTGAAAACGAAAGCTCGTCAGCGCCCGTGTCCTCCCCTCCAACGACCCGCCCGCTCACTCCGTGGTCGTGGTGCTCTTTCGGTGCAGCTTCAGTCTTTGAAATTAGGTTTTTACAATTCAATGTTTGGGAGTATGCAAACAGGACAGATTGTATATTAACATATACAAATGCTTTTTAGACCGTTTTAGTCACTTTCATTTGTTTGTGTAATGATTCTGCAGTGAATGAAGAAGTCCGGAGTTGACTTGTAGATTGGACAGGACTTGTGCTTGGCTTCCTCTAATTGAAATGACCTTCTACTGTGTTAAAAAGAACTTTGTATTCCTTCAATTCAATAGAACATCATGTATCTCCAGGTACACTTTTTGCTACTTCTAAATATGGGAAAATGCATTGTTTACATTCATATAAATGACAATGAAGCAACTCAGAGGACAATAATCCAGAACGGTTATGGTATTTCAGCATTTATATGATTTGTGACTTGATTATATTGCAGCACAAAAGGCAGGCTTAGCCTACTTCTGGTATTGCATGTTATGCGATATATTAACCAGCTTCAAAAAACAACAGAAAAAAGGAGGAAAACGTTTGCACTGTGTCACACTGCCAGGATATTTGTGTAGACTTATTATTAGTGTAGTAAAGGCTTAATAACTTCTGCGAGCTTCGCTGCTGCTGGAAAAGATATTAATGTAGCTTCTTGTTATACATTTAGATGTTTGAATGTTGTGCATCCACAGCTCAGATTTCCAAAACTATGAAATATTCTCTTCTGCATCGACTTTAACTAAATTGTACTTGATCGAAGTATTGATTTGTAAATCTGAGTCAAAGGTTCAGTACTTTTGTATATCGCTGAGGATGATGTCACAGACCTTTTTAACATTGAGCGAAGGTGAACGTACATTTGTTGGGTTTCTGTCCCCCGGTGTACGCTAGAGCTAGTTTCACTCTGTACTCTGGTTGATGTGAAGCCAACCTAACTAATGATGTCTAGCGAGGGAATCTAAAAAACAACCAAAGTGGTGTTCTGAGGAGAAGATTTACCCGTGAACAGAATTCAAATATTTCCTCCGGTATGATTGGACAGATCAGCCTGTAGTTGTGAACAGCGCTGGTCTGATCCACAGTTTAAACGGCAGAGCACCAAGGCCATCCGGATGAAACTGAGACAGCATAGTGAGGGGCAGGAATTCTGTTTTTGGACGGATTTTTTGCTTCAATATTCTATTCAGTAAGACATATTTCCTCGTATTGAGTAAACAACAGGACTATGCCAATGGCTTTTGCTTACATTAATGGACTTGAGCCCATTGTTTTGCAGTTTTACCAAAGACTTGAACTGTTCTTTCTTTTTTGCTACATTTCATCATTTGTTTTGTTTCAGTAATAAACCTAAATTGATTTAAAACAGTAATCACCTAGTACCTTAAATAGATAATGTTCATTAACAGCAATTAATGGCATCTTTTTTCTATCTTAAGTTAGCGATAGTGAGTTGATACAGAAATGGTTAACAATGCATCCATGGGTCACATCCTTACACAATGTGTATTTGTAAATTAGTTTTTGTGTTAAGTATACATTGACGTCTATGGCAGGTTTGTGTGATACTGGCTGTGAGGATTCAGTGTCGGTATAAAAGTCGTCTACAGTGAAGGAATGTCAAAGGTCAAATATACACCTTTGTTTGACTACATAATCGCTTTGGACTTGGATGGTTATGCATTATATGCTGTTATGATCGGCCTGCGGTGACTGTAAGGGGCTTTCTTTCTATCTGACTCTTTGTTTTCTATTTCTTGAAGCAGTGGTCCAAATTAGTTTTTGTTTCTGTAAAATGACGGGAGAGGTGGTGATTGTGAGAAACGATAATGGCAGATACAGACGTAATTAAAAGTGAGTTGTTATTCGTAATTTGTTGTTGGTCTCTCAAGTGGTCTACTTTCCCCAATTTCAAAAAAAAAAAAAAAAAAAGATATAAAAAAGTCACTTGATAAGCACAGCTTTCATTTCTTGAGATTTGTTGAATTGAGCTACATTTTCAAGTACATCGGTGCCTTTAATGATTACATCATTTTGATCGGTATGAAGAGAATACGTCTCCGAGACAGTGGTTGCTCTCAGTAAGATGGCAAAATATGACATGCTTAATTAGAATTTAAAATTCCAGTGCCTTAGAATATTTGTGTGGACCACAATGCGATCGCTAAATGAGCCTCTAGATTAAGGCCACTTGAGCTGAAAGGAAAAAGGCTGATCTAATGAGATTTGCTTCACCAGTTCCAAAGGAGGACACAAAGGTTAGAAACGACTGCTGGTCATCTGTCTCGGTCTGTATTTGCCATACAATTATACAAAAGAACAAAAAGAACAGCAATACTTAACCATCGAATACACAATTTTGATCTCAATAAGTCATTTGGCACCAAAAACTCAATTGTAAGGAAAAGCACCAAATAGGGACTCTTGTAAATGAACTGAACTAGATGTGTCATTGCGCTCTGCTTTGGAATAGTTTCATCTATTTTGCATTATTGTTAGTTGTTGTGTTGTCTTTTTGTTTTTAATATTATGAAAATGGAGCCTGAAAATTTATGCAATCTTGTACATGTATATGATGTATGGAGCTTTTCAAATTAAGTAAAATACGAGCACAGCAGGTGTTGTCAAAAGTAAATGATCTGAATGTGGAAGCAATTGTTCCACACTCTTTAGAAAATGTCAGTAGAAATGTTATTCTAACATCGAAGCCCTGAAATATTGAATGTATTGTTCTAAATTAGATATTAAATTAACAGGTCACTGGATATTATGGAGCTCAGTTAATTCATTATGATGTAGCATCTAGTTGCGAATTACTATTCAATAAAATGTATTAGTACTAAAACAAATGCAAGTTTTCAAATATCTATTTGTCAGCATAATGAGGAAATTGAGTAAAGAAATGTATTTTTCTCAGTGTGATGCAGAGATTTAATAGATGATGTGTTAAATCTGAGGAAACTGCATTTCATGGCTTGATTTACTTAATGTCCGTGGGTTTAGACATTATTTATAGATTAAACAATATGTCCCTTACTTTGTGACGAGCTGTATGGATATGTAGAATTCTCTACTGATAACTGTAGAATGATTCTGTTGGTATATCGATATGTTTTGTGTTGTAAACACAGAAATAGGTGCAAGTCTTAGAATACTAGATTTTTCTTTTCTACATTGAGCATTGTGTACAGAATATCTTCTGTAATGCATTACTAGTTTGTTAACACTTGTTCAATTGTTACACTACAGTTATGCAATGGTTTACAGAGTTCACAAAATTATTTTTATCATCTTGAGTATTAAAATAATTTTTCATCTGAAATGTGTGAATACTTTTTTGTCTCAAACACAAATTACAGAAGAAAAAAAAAAAAGAATCTGAAAATCGAACTAAACAATCTGAAATGCTGCTTGTGCATTAAACAGGAAGTGGACACCAGAGAAGGCAAGAGGTGCTTTTTAACTTTATTACATTACAGTCGCTTGTAAACATATTTATATTATCTAAAACAAGTCTGTCCTGAGCAGTTGAATTGTAAAATACATTTTTCAAAACAGACATAAAAATGCCAACTAACACCATTACCTTTGGCATGCTTGTATTTGTGCACCTATTTGAACTTTATGGCAGGAGACGAGGCCTCAAATAGGTAGCATATCAGCTGCTGGGCCTGCAGGAGAGAAAAACAAAAATGAGTTCAAAGGTGACTTGTTGTCAGACAAAACAATATTTCATGACAATACAACAAATCCTAACGTAGCATTACACCTGGTTGGTTAACAGAGCAGCTGACGAATGAATGATATATTCATAATTTACCTCTTTCTGGCACTCTGGGTAGACTATCATTTCCCCCACTTTTTCTAGTTCTGGCCTCTCCTTGTAGATACTAGTGTGACAATGAAAGGGACGAGTTATTTATAAATACATATTCTACATGTATGCGCATAAGTAGAAGTTTTAAGTTTTCTTTTTCCTTACCTTCTAAGAATCAAGTTAAAGCCGCTCACAACCGCTTTACCTTGCAGCGCCATGATGAGACAGGGAGCCGAGTAAAGGTGAGCCATCTTTTAATGAAACGAGAGACGAGGGAAGACCAACCGTTGAGTGCACGTTTATAAGAAAGTAGGCCCTAAAGCAACTTACTACCAAGCCAACCTTCTCACCCTTTCGTTCCCTCTTGATGACACTTCCAGTGTCTCAGCGATATATTTCCTCTCCTCATTATCCAGTATGCTCATCCTACCTGCCACCAGATGGCAGCCTGACCTCAGCAGCTGCTCAAGCATTGCCAGCTGGGATGGCACTCGGCTGAGAGGTGGAGCATTCAAGGGTAAGAGCAGACAGGTTGTCTGCCAGAGAGCACTGTGTATCCCTGGTACCAATAAACAAGCAAAACTTTGTTTACAAAGGTCATCTGGAACAGAGTCATATTTCAACATCATTCCAGAGGAGTCCCTGCCAAAGTCACAATAAATGATTAAATAATTCAAAAGCAGCCATTTTGCTTTGATAGATAAGTGAACCATGAGATCTTCAATGCTTTGACTTTAAAGTGAGATCAGTGGAGCGACAATAGTCAGGAAAACATGAATACCTGAGTACACCACTAATGCAACCTGAATATAGGGCATAGCCTAGCTCTGCAGACTTTACAGAGCATTTCTCTTAGTACAAGTTATCAATACATAGAATTGTCTGTTCATCAAAATAAAACCAGACAAGCAGTCCAAACCTCTATTTGGTCCTGATGCCCCTGAAGGGGAAGCCGATGTGCAGCTCTGTTGACGCTCCACAGAGACTAAAGGGTCTGAGCGCACGCTGAGTATCTGAAAGAAGGAAGCGAGCACAAACGCAGAATGTTTGTCTTTTATCAGTCGTAAGTGAAATGCGTGTGATAGGCATACCTGCTCCCGTCTCATTGTGCTGGTCTCGGTGCAGCACAGCCCCTCTGGAAAAAACCTCCTCACATCCTGAATCGCTTTCTGATATGATCCTGATGCTATGAAATTGGTTACAGACCTTTTAGCCATACAGTAAAACGAGGCAAGTTGAAGGCAATTCGAAGTGCTTTACATAATACACCGGTACTGTTGCACACATAGCAATCCAGTTCTTAAATGTGTACCAGTATGCACTAGCAGTACAGGGCACTGACCATAAATGCCATTGTATGAATGAGCCATGCCATGATAGGTCCACAGCGACGAGTCGTCTCGGTCCAGCACATCCAGCAGCCTACTTACAGCATTTTCCCCCTGGAGGCAGAGAGCCAATGAGGAGCCAGAGCACAAGTACTCCACATGGGCCTCCAAGTCTGAGGGGTCCTGCACACAGAGGTTAACACTTTATGAATCATCAAGGCCTACGTTTTTGTATGAATGGAAAGCTTGTTTTTCAGAGAGATAATCATCGTCAGTTACACTTTCTGCAGGCAGCAGTGAGTGGGCGGTGCTTTTGTCCAGGATCACTACATGCAGGCCCACCATTGTGAGGCCACACAGCTGGAGTTCGCAGGCTATTTTAGCCAGCGTGTGATTCCAGATTGTTGGCTTGAACAGGCACACAGTGATCTGTGGATCTGAACAGAATCCGTGATGAATGTTCAAAAGTCCTGTCATGGCTTCCCGCACTTACACATTATACAACACAACTCTGTCTGAAAGATGTATCTCTTGATTATCACATCAACGTGTAACAGAATTCACAGAAACTGTAACTTAGATAGTAAGACATTAATATGATAATATAGTACAATAAGTCGTTATCGACTTATTGTACGGTGTATGGTACGGTGTACGGTGAACTTGATCATTTTTGCTGACCTCAATATTGTGTTACATGCTTGTCTGTTTGCACACGAATGTCCCCAACATCCTACCCAATGTGATGCCAGAGTAAACAGCAACTTTTTCCTGACCATTATAAGAATTGAGCATTGTGCAGACATTGCACATTTTTGATTACAGAGCCAGAGAGTCTTTTTTGGTTGTATTTGAATGTTTTATTTATTTCACATTTTAATGTCAAATGAATATTCCTATGAATTAACAGTTCATTGCTCTTTGAAAGGGTGTACTTGCATTATTATGCTATCATAATATCATTATATCAGTGGCACAAAATGCTCTTAAAATTACAACATCGTTTATCGCAATTATTTCTGGGAAAATATATTGCCCAACAAAAGTAGTTATCCCGGCAGGCCGACCTTTGAGAGAAAACTGTGTGCACGCAGAGTCAGAGAGTTTAATTCCACAGATTTATACAACTAAAAAAATGTAATTGTGCTGTAGTTGAGTTGTTGTTAGAAATCTACTTTTAGACATCACTATATCAATGGTTGTTGTAAATATTATTCAAGATGTTTTCCTTTTTTACACAAACCTTTTGTACTGCAGTTTTGCGGAGGAAACCTCACAACGCTGTGGTCTGTAGTGGACAGAAGTGGGGGGATGAGACTTTTCCTGGCGTATTAGAGACTATTATTTTTCTTTATATAACTCAAAAGACTCGATTTTAGACTTGGTATCTGATTGCATGTTGTATACAGCACTCAACAAACCTACCAGGAATCATCTCATGCTCAAAGAAGAAGAGGGAGGCTTGTCTGAAAGCCACTTCAGGTGTGGGTGACATCAGGACACTGAGGTTACCGGGGTCATCTTGCGGTAAGAGTTTCCTCAGTGAAGCCACAGCATCCACACGTTTAAGAGCACACACTAGGGCAGGAGATGGCATCAGTCTGTCCACGCTGTCTTGACAGAGCTGCTGCCCCACCTCGTATGGATTCAGCTCCTGAGCCTGAAGTCGAGTCAACGCAGGCAGCCACTTCAGGCCAAGCAGCTTGAATCCTGTATGTTGTAAATCACCTTTATCATCAACATTACAACCATTGAAAAATAAGGTGGGGGGGGGTATTCTAAATAAATAATTCACTCACATACTCGCTACTCTGTTCATTCATTAAACTGTGTAGGCTGCTATGTGTATTTGACAGTGGATTTTGTTTGTTCTGCCCACTCCCATTTCAAAACGCAGGACAAGCTGTGCTACAGTTGAACTTCGCCCACCTTCTGGCTCCTCTGTCAGCACTCTGTGTAGGAGGCTCAGGCCCTGTCTCATGTCCTTTCCACAGAAGGTCAAAATCGCCACCTGCTCCATGTCGGAGTTGGATGAACACTTCTGATGTGACAGAATCACACTGGAGGGATCTGGCACTGCCCACATACACTGAACTAAAAGACAAATATACAGAAGAAACGTAAAGGGAAACAGCAGAGGAGCATCTGCTACTTTACTGATGCGGAACACACGGTGCTTACCAAAGACACGGTACACGTAGCTGCTGTAAGGCACAGTGTGGAAACAGAAGCTTGGCTCTACTGTCTGAACTCCATCAACTCTGGACTGGATGCAACCCAGAAGCTGTTGTGCCTTAAATTCTCTCATTAGAGCTGAAACAACATAGTAACTACAAGGTGATTTTATTGGAAACGTGCTGACTTTTCACATTATTAAACCTAAAATGTACAGAAGCCCTAAGAGGCAAGTGAAGAAAAACATCTAGTTATCCATTTTCAAGTCTGATCTAAAGTGTTTACTTTTGATATCATTTATTGAGATGAATTATGCTCTAGATATAATATGTGATGGAATTCAGACCTGCTGGCAGACTAACACCGTGGTGCACTGCATTTTCTTTCCTCAGTAACAACAGCAGACAGTGAGAGGGCAGCTCCAGCTGACCCTGATCTGGGGTCACAGTCTGTGGGCTGCAGAACACGCGAGCCTAGAGGAAATATACACAGGCTTCAACACTTTGACAAAAAACACAGAAGTAACATTTGGTGCATTTGGGGTAAAGATTACAATTGCAGCTAAATGTTCCATTACGATAGAAATGTCATTGCTCTAAGTCCGTACAACCAAAATCCCTTTTCCCCTTCACCTCTACAATGTCTCCAGTAAATAGTGAAATTCCCTACAAAGCAAATACTTGACATTTGACTGAGTCATGAGGCTCAGTAAAATCGTATCCTTCTATTCTACACACTGTTCTTCTGAAGGTCTGAAGTCTGAATGAGTAGATTGTAGTTCTACCTGCTGGTTGGAGAGTCCAAGGACCGCAGCTGCGTTGCTCTGAAGCTGTGGCCTCTGCAGCCCCCACAGTCTGAAGCCTCTGCGTTCACAAACAGACAGCACTTGGCCGTAACAACATGGAGGCACGGCAGGCGACACCACCAGGAGTAAGTCAGCTATGCGGGGGGAGAGAAGGATTAGTGGCTCCACTCATGTAAAAAAAAAATGTATTATCCTTGCTGCAAACAAAAGTTCCTGCAGGATAGTAAAGATGAAAGTTGAAAATGAAATGTGGGCAGATGGCAGTTTCCCCCCTTTTGACAGTTGTGGCTCCTTGTTGAGTTACAGTACCTTTCGTTGTAGCACACAGAAAGACTCCTCTTCTGTCATTCGAAGGAACAACTCTACAAAAAGTAGACGGTGACTGATTACAACAGTTTTAGAATCAGTTTTTCACACAATCTAATGACATTTTGACAACAAACCTATTCAGAAGCCGGTTGTGAGTGTGTGCACTTTGTCCTCCGACTCTTCCTGAAAACCACAAGCACAGCTCCCTGTGGGCCTGGCTGGCCAGTCGAGAGGAGAAGAAAAGAGGAGGCTCGAGAGGTGTGCGATCTGTCTCTCTGGGCATCAGAGGATCTAACGAACTAGTTAGATCTTTCAACACTGAGTGGGCATGAAGGCCCCGCACAGCAAGGGCAAGAACAGGCTGGCAGGTCTCATCAGTTCTCTGGATAACTGGTACAGCACCTATGAGTCAGGGGGGAGACAATTTAACTTCAATGAAGACACTGACAAAGGACCTATAGGACACAGTTGGAACCAGGATGCACACCAGACCAATGAGCCAGATGGAGAGTTATTGGGTATTTTATGACCAGACGGCTTTAGTCATGTCTTACCAGCACTGTCACTCAGGAACCCCTGTGGTGGATAAAGGAGCCGCAGACCACACACATCGAGCCCCGAGTCGAGAACAAGTTGGAGGGTGTAGTGTGTTATGACAGGATGTAGGATGAAAGCTTTGCACCCCAGAGCGACCGATACCTGTAACAAAAATAAGAGCGACATATATTTATTTAGCCTTCACTACCTCTGATTCAGTGCTTCTTAGGATCAAAAGACAGACGCTGTTGAGGGACATGCTCACTTCTGTGTGCAGCTCTTGTGTGGTCTCTTTCCCCTTACAACCATGCTCCTGAGTCTCCACAGTCTGCCAGTAAAAGCCTGGACTGAGACCAAATGTCCTATCTATAACCTGAAACACAAAGACAAGGGAGCAGAATACAGTCAACAGAATGCAAGATATGTGCTTGAAAAAGATATTGAATCACACTCTCTGAAGCACATCACCTTTTTGTTGGAGGTGGTGGAGATGAAACAATCTAAACAGGAAGAGGGCAGATGGATGGGTGAGGCATAGGCTTGTTGGTCCAGCAAGTTTCTGAGCTGAGGCAGCCAGCTGGCGATTAGAGTGAGCGAGGTCTCAGTGAGGAACCTGCAGACATGGTTGTAGAAAGGTGTGTGGATGTCTTTGTCCCTTTTCTACAAAACAAACAAAAAAGAGGAACAGCATCAGCACAGCTAATATAAAGCCTACAGAGTATGTGTGTTTCTTTTGTTTTGTTGCTTTTTTTGCTGTTCACCCTTGGTGTATAGGAGTGACGAGCCACAACTAAGACGTGCAAAGCCAGTCCGTCCTCTGTCCACAGCTGCTGGAGTCCTGCAACCCAGAATGGGACCTTTGCACCAACCTCGTCTTCCTCATGACGTGGCTCAGGGCCAACCTAATACACGTACACAAGCGACCCTTACATGGTGAAACTCAGCTTTACAATAACAAACCATAGGAGAGAGAAGCTGCTGCTCACTAACCAAAGACAGAAACCAAGCCACTAAAGTGTTGTAGATGTCTGATTTGGTTGCCGCTGAATTCAGATGTTTTCTCGTCCTGTGAGATCTGGATCCAACCACGCCAGGACTGGAGAGGTCTACAGTTAGTAGCATATGTCTCTCACTTTCAATATCTGCTGGTAGTGTGCTGATGGACTGTAGATGAGATGCTTCCTGAAAAACAAGTCATAATACTGTCTGTAAGTTTTGGCCTTTTTTCTAGGTAATGTACATTTTGAGTTCTGTGTCACTTACAAAATCATAAAGAACATCAGTCCTTTCAGCAGCTGGCTGCTTCTGATTGACAGATTTGGGTGGACGATGAATTTCCAGTTGCTTAAGAATCTGCTGTTGTTCATGTTGATATGTCTGCTTAACTCGTGCTCTCTGGTGGTCACTATCAAAAACATTGTCACGGTTAAAATATATCTGTTTATCCTCGATGATGTGCTGAATGAATGAAGACCAAGGCATACCTCTGCTGCTTTGGTTGTTTGGTTGTTCTTTGCTGAGTTGTTGGTGGGCTTTTCATTTTGGGGTTTCTGTATTCAACCTGTACATGAGAAGATTGTCTGCCTCCCCACAGATTGTGTGACTCAGCCTGGGGTAGCTTCTCGTTCAGTTTCTCTGGAACATTCTCTGGCACTGAATATGTAGGGTCTGCATATTCATTCGGATATCCATTTCCATTTCTGTTCATCTCCCTGATTTTCTGAAGCAGCATACTCTTTCCAGTCACTTCCCTGGAAGCAGAGACATGACAATATGATTTGAAACAAAATGTGCTGGACTGAAGCGTGACAAATGTTTCTAATGCAGGATATATTTACCTGTCCCCGTTCCGTGATCCAGCATGCACTTTAAGATTGAGTTTCTTTGCAGGTGGTGTTTCCTGGTGATTGTTGCGTTTGGCTGCTGACTTGGACTCTGATGAAAGATTTAGGGATGTTCTTGGTGGTTGTTTTGAAGAATCAGGGCAACGCAGGTCAATGTAGACAGTGGGACATTCCTGCTGGCTCAGCTGCAGCTCGTCTTCCGACCTCCCCGATGATTTTTTCCACACATTGTTATGTCTGCGTGAAACAGGTGATTATTATCATTATCTTACAAGTCTGGTCACAGAACATGAGCAGTGATGAGACTTACCTGATGTGGTTTGGACTTTTCACAGGCTCGGACACAGACTTGGTTGACTGGCTGTTACAGAAAGCAACTAGTCTCTCCATTATATTTCCCTTGGATCTGTCCTTGGCACCTTCTATGATTAAATCATTAAGGTTAATTGATCATGTCAATTAAATACATAACCCCCCATAATCCTCCATAAACCCTTCATTATTTGCTATAGCAACAGGTGTGTGTGAAATAATGACTTACCTGCTTTTGTTTTCAAAGGTTCAACTGACGCATATTGTTGCAGAGGTAGCCCGTCCAGATTTTTGAGAACATCATCCAAATCCCACTGGTCAAGCCTCTGAATGTTAATGTGTAACAAAACCAGTATTTAGGAAGCTTTAACACCGAGAGATTATTGACCTGCATTAACCACAATCATGAGATTATCCTTAAACCTTTGTACTTTGCCAAACTCACTGCAAATGAGAGAAGGGGAAAACCCCCATCAACTGTTGTGTTGTCGACATTTGGTGTTACAGAGGCATCTGGCTTGGCTCTGTTCAACTGCACAATACCTCTCTCACAAGCATCTGCCTTTAATGGTGGAACAGGAAAGGAAAGGATGCGTCTGTAGTGAATGCCATGATACACTGGTGTGAACACTGTGGCTACAGATCAATACACCCTACCTCAACATCAGCATCAGAGTGCTGTGTATCAGTTACAGTAGTGCCTTCCACATGTTCATCATCATCCAACTGCCCACTCTCTTCTGACCAGCAGGTCTGAGCTACAGGTTTCAACAGCTCCTGATTGAGAAAACACACACACACGCACAGAGAGAGAGAGAGAGAGAGAGAGAGAGAGAGAGAGAGAGAGAGAGA